GGGTGGGGGGGGGGGGGGGAGCGTGGCGGAGGTGAGACCCTGTGAAACAGGTTGGTCCCTAGCCAGCATGTCTCTGTCTAGGTTCTATATATTTACATCGATGAACTTTATGCTTTTAGGATGAACAATGACGATATTTTGATATGGAAGAAAATTCATGCACTGACAGTTCGGGTAAGGCTACTTTATGAATTTAGAGTACAGGACTTCCGCGGTTCAAAACCGATCCAGTCACGCAGCTTCGCCTTAAGGCTAATGATCAACCTTTACGTGCTGTCAAAGGGAATATCAATGTCTCTGGGTACGAGATTGAGGGAATTTATGACCGCAGACTAAATATGACATTTCAGTGCGAAAATTTGTAGAGCTACCTATTGGGACTATTGGCGATACGCGAAGAATAAATCAGTTAAATTTTGGTTCAATTTGAATGGAAATTGGATGAGAAATTATCTAAAGCTTTTCTTGCTTTTGTAGTAACCGTATATATTAGCATAATTAGACGCTAATCCTAAGCCTGACTAGTGACTGCGTGTCATGGAATTGTAATCGAGAAAGAAGAAAATGCAAAAAGATTGCGGGAATTACCGCGAGCTAGAACCACCTGCTGTGTCCAGCTAAAAAGCTAAGCAAAAATTAGCAATCTTGTACTAGTTTTGCACAATATCTTTGCAATAAGTTTCTAGACGATATTGCCTTAAATTTTATCCCGCCAAAAACGACCAAAAACATTTCACGGAACTTCAAATTTCGAGAACAAAATGTGGATCAGGATGTGGATCATTTCCGCGCGTCATTCTACTTTTGAGCGATGAAATGTAAGTACTTATGACGTATGTCGATAAGTAAGATTGGCTTCGTGGTTTTAGCAGAAAATATGGCTGCTGCTGTCGAAAATTCTACTTCAAATCAGAGATATTATTGCTACCAATGCGATCAAAATATATCTCCTACGATACCGGTAAGATGCTGCTTTTATCCCTTGCTTACTTGGAAATAATTTCAACCTTTTAGTACAACGTAAACCGTCTTAGGTTTCGCTTTCATTAATGTATACTTCGCTAAACATAGGGTATGTAAATAAAATAGTTAGAATTGCTGTTTTGTTATATTGTGTTGTTAAGAAGTATTTTCTTGTGTGAAATTAAGTAAAGTAAATAAATGTTAGCTTTCGTATGGGGTTTTTATAGTGAAATGCTTAAAGATCTCTGCTATTTGTTTGGATTATTAAAAATTGTCAGGAATAGGAATGGCAGGAAATAGGTTTCACAGGAATCGTACGATGTCGTAAATTCGTGACTCGGTGCATTGTAAAAATATACTTCCAACACAGTCTCCTATTTGTAGAACATATTTGGGCAAATATATTGTATGAAGGCTATTGAAAACTACGTAACGTGAAATCATTAATATTATTGTTACTTAGGCTTAAATTTTAATAAGGGAATGTAGATTTTTCCCTATAGTTGAGGTACACTTTTTTGCAAATTTTACACTTTATCTGTACCAGAGCAACTTCTGAATGCATATGCCATCAAAAACATGCTGTAAGCATAGAATATTGAATTATATGCCATTCAAAAACACAGCATCAGATGATTGTATTATACTGTAGAGATTGCACACCAGATACCATATGGTACTGGATAGTAGCAATATCATGGGTAATATTATAGTGACCAATAATACTACCTTGTACTGACTAAGTATGCCTGTGATCATTTAATCAGGTACGGTAGCTTAAATGCATTTGATTGGTTAATAGTCCCTTAATTAATGGCAGTCTGGAAATTTTGTATCTTACGCCAAATATAGTGTACTGGGTAATAACCAAACACTGGATATTCATATCCATTCTTGGACAATACTAATTTCTTCCCATAAAATAGTCCATATTTATTAATAGTATATGACTTTATCCCCTTGTGTAATAAGCATAAATTTCTATGGCACAGCAGAGAGTAGTTTACATCACAATAAATGTTTCTGTAATTCCATTTAATTAAATGCATTGCACACATAGTAATTTGGCATTCCCAGATACTTTGCTTTCCCAAAATAATGTCGTTCCGGTTCCCGACCGGCCCTATTTTTTTCTGCCGACCCTATTATTTTTTCAACGCGATTGACCTGGGTGGTTGCGGGCTGCTGCCTAAATGGTGTCTGTTGTCACACTAATTATTGAAAAAACCATGAAAAAAAATTCAAAAAATAATTTTATTTCCAACCTACCGACCCTAATTTTTTTGCAATATGAAACTGGAACCACAGGTATTTTTTTAGGCCCAATGCGACTTAATGGGTTAATTTGCAGAACAAGTCCATGGTTGGGCAAAATCTGTTCAAACTAACCCACAATCTCGTGGGCAAGAGGTGATTGCCCTGACAGAAGCCCCTGGCAGCTAGACAGAGAAATAAAAAATCCATTTTCTCAGCCTCTTCCGGGAGGCTAAAATTTAAGGCTATCTATACCAAAAAATGATACCCACACTAGTTAACAGTTAACCATTAAGGGGGTCTTCCACCCTAAAAACATTTTTTTTCAATTTAAAGGTTTTATCATATTTGAGTCAAATATGATGGAATATCCTCAGCTGACGCAGGATCAGTAACTTTTACATTCGTCATTGCCATAGTATTAATAGTAACTAAGATAGGCCTTGCTATAGGGTAAAATATAGGGTTTGCTCCAAAAATGATGTGAGCCAAACTAATTTACCGAGGATTTTAGAAACAGCTTTAATGGACACTTAATACATCGATCTATGTCATGAACCTAAAAAAATATACAAGTAATATAATAAGGCCTTCATATTTTACTTTTTTAAAATTATATAAAGAAAGGAGTTCTTATAAGGCTACTCTTGCAATGTATATTGCTGATATATGAAGTTTTTTAGGTCCATGACATGGCTATGTAACAAGCAAATAAACTCTGAAAATTTCGAACGAATTGATTCAGTATGAACAGTAGGAGAGTTTTTAGTATTTTGCAAAATGCTCATGTGAGAAAAGCGATTTTAAAGTTTTTGCATATATTAGAATAACTTAGATAGAACAATATAATTGAAAATGGAACAATAGACTAAACCAATCGCATATCTTTATCGCTCCGGGTAAAATCGTGGTTTTACCCTACGAAGGTGTAGAATTTGCTGGATTTCTCTGGTTTACGGTACATTTTCGTTCTTAAAATTACACAGATTTTATAAAGAATGCTATAAAGACTACATTTTTACGTTTTTTCTAAAAAAAAACAAATATTGGAAAATTTGGGTGGAAGACCACCTTAAGCGCCAGCAAGTAAAATCATCTGGCGTTAGACAGAGTAAAATAATATGGCCAGCGTTAGACAGAGTAAAATAATAAAGTAGAGCGCAATACGACTCAGTGGGTTAAACATAAATGAAAATTTATTGTTTGATTTTGTAGGAATTTACTTGTCCTGAATGCCATTTAGGATTTATAGAAGAACTAAAGAATGAAGAGTATGTACAAATCATAAATGCTTTATTGATTTGTATTGTAAACAAGCGTGTTTATTGGTATGAAATTGCCCTAACAAACAATAATTTTGTATTGTTTTTAGAGAAATGGACCTAGATGAAAGTGATGGTAGAAGTGACCCAGAGGTATTAGGAAATTTAAAAAATCATCTTCTAGATTTCCGATATGGTAAATTGGTAAAAACCAGGATGTTTGATATTTACCATTAATGGTATTTTCCTGTGCACAGGAAAAAAAATAAAGTACCATTAATAAACAATTAGGGACCGGTCATTATTTATGGTGGGGGGTGGCACCGAAGAGAAAAAGGTTGGGTAAACAAAATTTTGAGTGAGTAAAAGGTTGGGTAAATGAAAAACAAAACAACTCAAGGGTTGGGTAATAAAAATTTACTGTCATTTCCAAAGCATGACCCACTGAAATATTGGAGACTGAAAAGCAATGTCAACAGTCATTTGTCAATACAATATGTGAATCAATCAGAGTCACTATCTTGATCATAGTTTGACAAAACAAATTGTGTTCCAAAGAAAGTACATGTGCAGACAACATGAAACTTTAGACTGCAGAACATTTCACAAGCCGTTATCAAACTCATGTCACTGAAGTGATAGAGGACATGTATGACAACTGAATGGTATCCTTTTGTTAAGTTTTTGGCCAGGGGTGGGTAGTTATTTTTTAATTGATATTTGAGGTTGGGTAATCAAATTTTTGTCTTTTTAATGGTTGGGTCAGCAAAATTTTTGACACGGAAAACATTTCTCTTCAGTGCCACCCCCCGCCATAAATAATGACGTGTCCCTTATTGAATTTGGTTTTCTTCATTATTGATAAGAATTTTAAATGTAAGTATTGTTTTTAGCACCATTTTTCATTGATGATGCGAAACATTGAACCAGGAAGAAATGGTTAGTAGATTAGGTTTGTAAAGTGAGGTCTGATATCTTGATTGTGCATCAAAACTATGAGTGAGAATTACATCAGAGTTGTAGTTTTGAGTCATGTGACTTGTAATTGACTTGGACTTTTGTGACTTGACTATTGTTAGTCAGATTAACAACTTGTGACTTGGACAAAATGATTTGACTTGTACATGCAAGAAATGACTTACCAATTGATGCAAGTCAAATGTAAAGTTGCAAATATCCAGTGTAATTTAAGAAACATTTCTACAAATACTATAGTGACTAGTGCTGTAGTGTGGCCAGATTTTGTAGGGCTTGTTATGTTTATGAGAGTAATATATAATTGTCGTGGGTGACTCTCCATTTGTGGTAAAAAAGAACAGCTGTACAGAATGACTTGCAACTTGACTTGGTCACTAACAAAATGTCTTGCAAATTATGACTAGTAGTAACAATGTCCTGATGTCTGGATTTTGTTTATAGAAATTCGTATCGGGAGACCAGGGAGGCGAAGAAGACCTCACATGCGAAGTAGACCTGGCCTCATTTCACAAGATCCTGTTGTTGGACATTTTGCTGCTCTCGATCAGTAAGATTAGTAAACATTTTCTCTCTCGGGACTTTGTCTTTGTTCAGAAACAACGAAGATGAAGGAATTTACAAAAGCAGGGTTCAAAACAACCACTTGTTGACCTGTTGATTCCAGGCAATTTTTACAAACAACAGGTGTAAAAACTGTTCACCTTAACAGAGCTGAAAGTGCACATCACAGTACATGTACAAGTTTAACCTATTGAGCACCAGCACTCTACCCTTGACGAGTAAAATTGTCTGGCATTAGAAAGAGTATAATAATAAAGTAGGTCACATTGAGGCACAATGCAACTTAACGGTTAATAATGGAGGAGACAGATAAAAGTATACAACCTATTTCCATGGACAAGTAAAAAATAGGAACATTTCAAACCCTGAGAAGTCAATAAGGAATTTGTGAAAGTCAGTATTTCTTATCCCATTAGAGGCTAATGATTTGTTGTATGAACCTTTGCAGGCTTTTGCGGCTATTTGGTCAAGATTCTGGACACAGTAAGTACTTTGAAAAAGTCTCCAGTCCAGTCCGTACTTTAGATAGAGCTAAGGGGTGTAGGGAGGTATGCAACCCCTCACAATCTTAAGCAACCCTTAGAAAGCTTGTTTAAAATTATATCTGTAGGTACATCAAGTACTATATTTTAACGTGAAAATGTAACGAAAGAAGTAACGTAAACGTTGATCAGAAAAGTAACGTGCTATCGTTCCATTTTAATTAAGCCAAAATGTACTGTAAGTAGTTATACAGTTGCCTGTTTTAAAAACCGTAACTAATTACTGTGAAAGTTACTTAAAAAACAGTAACAATTACTTGTAATTTCGTTACTTATAACGAAATTAGGTACAGCACTGATATTTTTGTGCTGGATACCAGATTTCACACTTTGGATAACCCTGAAAATGTCAAGCCCTGTCAATGAGACCCAACATGCTACAATATAATGCGCTCTTTTGTCTATCATTTGCAAAGTATGCATCTTTTGGCAATAATTTAGCAATAATTTCTATGATCATTTAGGAGTTTCTATTAGTATCACAAGTATTTATCATGAATTCTAATTTTCAGCTGGTATGTCTGGTGGTGAATCATTTAGTGGAAACCCAGGCTTTCTGTAAGTATGGTGTATGGTATATGTTTATGGATGATCAACGTTTTTTGTCTAGCTGAGAAGTGTCCAACTTGCTGTTATAAACAAGTAACAGTATTTATTTTCCTTTTTGAACAGAAATTTATTTCACATTCATGGTAATCCAGGAGATTATGCATGGGGTGGCAGAGGACTGGATTCCATCATAACTAGAGTAAGTATATCTAAAATTATGTTTACTGATTGCAAAGATATATTAGTGGACGACATGCATATTGTAATAGCCCTTTCCCCTTATAACTAAATTTTTGATCTAGACAAGTCTAGACAAAAATTTCATCACAGCTTGAAAGAGCATCACAAAATTAGTAATATTCCGAAGTTTCGTTGCGAAATGTTGTAAAATGTGGATAATATAGCCCTGCGAAATTTGCAATTTTCAGTGATTTTGTATTACAAACGGGAAATTGATGCCCCAACACCCGATTGGGCTGTCAATTTCCCATGCGTAATACAAAATGACTGAAAAACGGCAAACTTCGCAAGGCTATATTATCCGCATTTTACAACATTTCGCAACGAAATTACTAATTTTGTGATGCTCTTTCAAGCTGTGATGAAATTTTTGTCTAGATCAAAATTTTAGTTATATGGGGAAAGGTCCATTGTTCCAGTCTCAGAGCTATGCCATGATTCAGCTGCAATTTTATCCTGACGCAAAGCCAGGCTGCGATAATTGAAGATTTTTCTTTGCAACTCAATGGCGCCGCTACGACTATTACTCGATACAGACGTAAAAATGTCACATCCTGTCAACAAGACGTGCTCGCAACAAGCTTGTATAACAAACTGTAACAGTGTGGTTGGTTTGTCGAGTTGTTACAAGATTGTGAGTCACAAATTGTTAACAAGTTATTGCAAATTGTAATAAGTCTGTTAAGTTAACAACATTGTAGCAAGTTGTTAGCAAGCCGTTGACTAAAGGTAGCCTGGTTCGTTACAATCATACCTAGAAAATATATTTTTTTTCTTGGCAGTAAAATCCAAAAATAAATATTTCCTGTGTAGGTCAAATATAAAACGTCCTGCACATGTAGATTTCAGAGAACGTATGGCGCCTCACATTGTGATATATTATACAAATAATGAATGTTTATTCGTGCAATGGCAAGAATATTTTCATGAGGTGAAAGATGGAATGTTCCATTCAATGAGGCGACAGCCGAGTTGAATGGAACATTCCATTTTTCACCGAATGAAAATATTCTTACCATTGCACGAAAAAGCATTCATTATTTGTTTTATATAATACCAAAATAGAGTAATAGATTCGTATGAGAAGCATTTTGAGGGGTGCGATTTATTGAAAACACAAAGAGTGCAATTGTACTATACATTTTATTCCATTGCACTCGCAGAGAGTGCAATGGAACGTATTCCATTGCATTCTTGGGAAATGGAATTTTCTATTCAATATCACGTGACCATAAACAGCCAATTAAACGATCAGATTTCAATAAGGTATTATATAAACTTCAATGTCGGCACAAGACAATCTCGACTTGCAAAACGCTTTGGTAAATAATCAGTAAATTATGTGGCATCCAGTATATATGATGACAAAAATTTCCTGCAAGATGTAAGAAAATTTTATGCGAAGATATTTTGTTAAACATTTCCTGGCAATGGTGCTGCTGGTCATTTTCAACGTATACACAAAGCATGATTTTCTAAAAAGTATTCAATCAATTACCTCAAACATTACGAGTGAGAACAACGAGGAGTAAGTACCATTGCATATACCAACACATGTATTTGACTCCAGCATTCCTCAGTCTCATCTCATTCCATCGTGTTTCATGTCAAGAATGTCGAACATATTATAGAAAGGATGATTCCAGCTATATGTAGACTAAATTTTGATCTAGGCAAGAAGAACAAAATCCATCACCACAGCTAGAAAGAGCATGTTAACATGTTAATTGTTAGCATGTTAATTAGTAAAATTGCAAAGTTTGGTTGCGAAATGTTGTAAAAGGAGGAAAATATAGCCCTACGAAATTTGCAAATTTTGTATTAATTTGTATTACGCACGGGAAAATGCACCATATTTGGGCCGAAAGTGGTGCATTTTCCCGCGAGTAATGCAAATTAATACAAAATTTGCAAATTTCGTAGGGCTATATTTTCCGCATTTTACAACATTTCGCAACCAAACTTTGCAATTTTACTAATTTTAACATACTCTTTCTAGCTGTGGTGATGGATTGATGGATTTCAAAGTTCTTCCTGCCTCGAAATTTAGTCTATATATAGCTGGAATCATCTATCAGACTATTACGGTTTTGAATACCTTGGAAAGGTCATATGGTACCGGTAGCAAAATGTAAGTACGTCGAAAGTACGAGACGGTAATGTTGGCGATCTCCGCTACGTAACATTTTACTCGGATGCAACACTATACTAGCTTATTGCCGAGATCAAATTGAAACACAGATGTATATTAGAGCGAAGGACTGTGTTTGGAAAGTCTAAAAATATGTATATTTGTGTTTCTAGTTACTTGACCAAATGGAAGGTTCAGGTCCACCGCCGGCAGAAGCAAGCCAGATTGAGTCACTACCTACTGTAAAAATATCCCAAGAAGATGTTGGTGAGTATACAAAATTATTGACCTATTTGACAAGAATTATGTCATTGGTGGTTTTCTTCTTAGTACATCTCGAAAAGTTCCTAAATATCCCTAAAACTCTTCAACAAAAATCTTTAAAAATCCCTACAAAATTATCTATGAAATCCCTAAGAATCTGTTGAAATCCTTAAAAATCTTTACAAACCCCCAAAAAATCTCGGAAATATCCCCAAGAATCTAAAGCCCATGTTACACGGTGCAATTTTTCTTGCAACTTGCAATGCAATTCTACTCTTGAGAGATGTAAAATTGCGAAATATGAGTCTTCGTTACACTCCGCTGATGTTTTCTCAACATATCGAAAATTCTTCACTGATTTCACAAATGAACATCTCCCAAGAGTAGAATTGCATAATGCAAGTTGCAAGAAAAATTAAGGTATTTTCGAAATCTCAGAAATCTCGTACACATTTTTGGAGTGATAGAAACTGACAGATTAAGGGTCAGAGACGAGTGACCGTAGCTTCGCGAGACTGAGTGAAGATATCTTAATTAGAAAGACTAATAAGCTGCAAACGATAGACAAAGAACAAAAAAAATTCTGGTATTCAAACAACGGCGAATAATAGCATACAATTTCGTACATTTCTTTGTTTTAGATATGAGTTTAGAATGTCCTGTATGTAAAGAAGTGTTTAGTTTGGATGAAGAAGTTAAAAAGTTACCCTGTAAACATTATTTTCATGAAAGTTGTATTACTCCATGGCTCAAGAAGGTGGGTAGACAATATTATTACTGCTATCCACGGATGGCTTGTCTTTGTGTACAAACGTATAAAGAACAATCTAACTACACGCTTACTGTCGTTCCAATTGAAGTATTGCTCAAATATTGATTCAATACATTACCTCGGGCTGACCAATTCATTTCATCAAGTTCCTCGAGATATTCATACACTTCCTGTGAAAGAGCCAATTC